GTGGTGAAGTTGGGGCGTCGGTGGGCTCAGCCTCGGGAGGGGAGAAGCCCCTGTCCTCGGCGTGGCAGGCAGCACTAAGCGGAGCCACATCCATGTCGCAGGGCCAGGTAGCCGCCGCAACGGACGCCACCCCGCACGAGGCATGCAAGCTGTTCTGTCTTCTTCAGCACCAACGCCACGCCACCGCACCGCCAGCCTTAGGAGGGGGAGGGGAGGAGGGCGTGAGCTAGGAAGGAGAAGGAAGAAAAGAGGGAGGGGAGGGAAGGAGGGTGTGAGCTATGAAGGAAAAGGATGGAAAGAGGGAGGGGAGGGAAGGAGGGTGTGAACTATGAAGGAGAAGAAGGAGAGGGGTGAGTTGGGCAAGAGAAGGTAGGGGAGTGTTGAAAAAAGATAAGCAGGTTGATTTTCCGGGAAGTTAGGAGGGAGATAGGGTGAAATCTAGGAAGTTGGGAGAGAATAGTGGAGGAGAAGGATCAAGGAGCTCGAGAAAGAAAATGAGAATAGGGGGAAGGCCTAGAAAGTTGGAAAAACGGCCCGGGAACACAAGATGAGACCTAATAAGTTGGCAAAAAGAGTATAGGAAGTTAGAAAAAAAAGGTCTTGTGACACAGAAAAGAACCTATGAAGTTAGGAAAAGACCTAGAAGGATAGAAAGGAGGCTACGAAGTTAGGGAAGGACCTAGACAGAAAGGACGGGGCGGGTCTAGGGAGTCAGGAGGGAGGACAGTGGATGAAGGATGAAGCAAGGGGAGGATACAGCGAAAGGGTTAGTGCTTTGGCTCACAGTGAAGGTCAGTGTGGTTAAGGTGCAGGTCTTCGAGTACAATCCTTCTAAAGCTCACTGTATAAATGTTGTAAGATTTTTTTTTCATTAGAGGAGTGGGGATCATTCTTTCTCACACAAAATGTGAGAAAGAAGCATTCAGTTTGGTTTTGGTGATATTTAGTTTTCAAGTTAACGTAAAGAGGATAGGATGTAAAGAGAAATGGATTAAAATTATCATATGAGAGAAGAATTAGCTTTGCACAATTATGAAATGTTATAGCAAGAGAGAAGCAAATTATAATACATTAGATATGGAGATAATATTATAAGTCTGTGATCAATAAGACTGCAGAGTTTAGGAGTTGTAGAAGGCAGCATAGAGAGGCTGACAAGTCTCCTAAGAGATGAGGCAACTAGCATAGGCAGCGTTAGGGTCAAAGGTCAGGTACTGAAAGGTTGGTCATCTAACCAGGTGTCGGGCTGCTGGTGGCTGGCCTCTAGTATTAGACATTAGTGCTTAGAACTGTTTACTCTTTTTTTACTATGTATGTTCCGCAGCTAGCAAAAATACGCGCCATACAGTGAGCATCTCTAAGGTCAGTTTCCCCTGTAGAAAAAATATGGAATATCGTCCTTATTGATGTGGAACAGAGCCATGACACCGGGTGTCTGTGATGCAAAACAAACAGCTCTTTTATTTCTCCATTCAACTGTTTTTGCTCGTACAGCAATATATATTCTTGTCATTTTGTGAATCTTCTTCATTAGCAGTTTGATCGTTCCTACACACAAGTCCCCATTTTGATGTTGACTCGCACTCGTGTAGAACTACCAGTCTTTGAATTCACTCGACACGTGTTTCTTTTTATATTTACACCGTATTTTAGTGAATGACAGTGCGTTTTGTAGCATTAACGAGACACGAACCGTTGACTTGTTTAGCACTTTTCTGTATGAGAAGATCGAGCACATAAACGCTTCCTGGAAAGCTATAATTCTGGCCCTTAGCGTTTATTCAAAAAATCATAAATGCAAAACAAACATATATATATATATATATATATATATATATATATATATATATATATATATATATATATATATATAAAAATATATACATATATATATATTATATATATATATATATATATATATATATATATATATATATATATATATATATATATATATGTATGTATGTATTTGTATATATACATATGCATTTGTGTGTATATATATGCATATATATACATATATATGTGTATATATACATATATTTACATATGTAAATATATATTTATATATATATATATATATATATATATATATATATATATATATATATATATATATATATATATACATATGTGCGTATTCAAGTGTATGTGCATATTTGATTGTATAAATACACTTTCATGCTCAAATGTATAATAGATTAACAATACGTTCATATGACCTTTTATCAAAATACAGTATCCTTAATGATAAACAAAAAAGCAAAGCAGCGCCTTTAAGATCGGGCACGGGCGCGGAGGCGACCGTAGAGCTGTTCGTTGCCTCGGACCCAGGTGTTCGGCCGGCCTTCCGAGTTGCGGCTGCGCGTTGTCTGGTTCCTTTTCGGATTATAGTTAACTACTGTCATAGTAGCTCAAGCACTGCTCTGTGTACATTTAAGTAATGCTTACAGTGACAACTTAGGTTCACTGCTACACAATGCTATGCTTTATTATAATGACACGTCTCACTGCTCTACACTTCTCCTATGTTCCTAAACACTTTTCTTCAGAACTTATCTCCATCTTTGCTTTCCCACTTACAGTTTTTTTTCTTTAATATATCTATCGATCATTCACTGTCTTCACATTTTTATTTCCATTTCCCTGTCTCTTTCTCATTCCTTTTCTCTCTTTACTCTTTTGTTCCTCTCTCTCTCTCTCTCTCTCTCTCTCTCTCTCTCTCTCTCTCTCTCTCTCTCTCTCTCTCTCTCTGTCTCTCTGTCTCTCTGTCTCTCTGTCTCTCTCTCTCTCCCTCTCTCTCCCTCTCTCCCTCTCTCTCCCTCTCTCCCTCTCTCTCTCTCTCTTCCTCTCTCTCACTCTCTTCCTCTCTCTCTCTCTCTCTCTCTCTCTCTGTCTCTCTCTGTCTCTCTCTCTCTCCCTCTCTCTCTCTCTCTTCCTCTCTCTCTCTCTCTCTCTCTCTCTCTCTCTCTCTCTCTCTTTCTCACTTTCTGTGTATCTTTCTCTCTCTCCTCCTTCGCTCTCCTGTTCTCATTATGTTATCTCTCCATTCTCCAACCTAGTTCCTCCTATATTGTTTCACTTCACATCACACTCGTATTTGACTGATCGTAGTATGGTAGATGTATGTATATATAGATTTTTTTTTTTAATTTTGCTACAGTAGGTGGCACTAACACTTTCTCCGTAGTCTGCCGAGTAGTCCTATACTAGTCTGTGTTTTATTAATCATACTTATGTAGAGTAGCGCCTAATAATCTGTTTAGCACAGTGCTCGGTACAATCCTGCATATATACCCTCAGCTTCCAGCCATTTTTTACTGTATATATTTTATATATATTGTAAACTTTGTATATAATGTACTATGTCCCCACCTCCACCCCTCCCACAAAGTACTGCACTGTACTTTAACTATTTGATCCCATTTGTGTAGAAGTATCCATTTTTTTTTTACTTATTGTCGAAGAAATCATCATCCCTCTATTATTAGCATGTTAGACCCCCCCCCCCTCCGATGTTTGGTATCTCACAAGTTGACATGAAATCGTGGGACTCCATCGTACTGTTAGATGGTAGACGATGAATATGTTGGACAACTATTTGCGTTGTGGAGGGATTGCCACGCTAAATGGCGCTGGGAACAATATGTTAAATTGCTCCGCTGGCGTTAATGTATTAGATTATGCGATAAACAATTTGATGTTAAACTGGGTATTAACATATTAAACTGCAACATGATAATGTGTATATTAAACTCCAACGCAAATTGTTTGTTTAAACTCATTGCAATTATTATTAATAAACTAAAATACCCTTTTTTTTACCAAATGGTATGTTAGACAGTATTGTATACATATTTTCTATCCACATACTTAACATTTGTTGGTGTTGTTAATATTGCAAATTATCTAATATTAACACCAACTGGAAGCTGCGACCTGACCTTACATCATCACTCTCCAGTTTTTTTTAACTTCCTAGGGTCATCTGGCGTTCAAGGTCCTCTTCTCCCCAACTCCCCCCCCCCCCTCTCGCCCTCCCTCCCCTCTCGCCCTCCCTCCCCTCTCGCCTCCTCGCTTCCCTTTCGCCCTCCCTTCCCTCTCGCCCTCTCTTCCCTCTCGCCCTTCCTGCCCTCTCGCCTCCTCGCTTCCCTCTCGCCCTATCCTTCCCTCTCGCCTCCTCGCTTCCCTCTCGCCCTCCCTCCCCTCTCGCCCTCCCTGCCCTCTCGCCTCCTCGCTTCCCTCTCGCCCTCCCTCCCCTCTCGCTTCCCAATTAGAGGTCGACTCCTGTCCCCTCCCTCTCTTTCATTATTCTTATCCCGACCTTACTTTTAACTTTTATTTAGGGGTCACGTCGGGGCTTATATTTACTTCCCTCCCTCCCCCTGCCGTCACCTGCTTTTCTCGACTCATCTCCCCTTCTCCGTCTTCATTGCAGGTTGCCTTGTGCCCTCTGAATTCACTCCTGTTGTTAGGGTTACCTTTACCCCTTATGCCCCTGCTAATGCTCCCCTGCCATATCTGCTCTCAGCACCCTAGTATTATCCTAGTTTACCCTTCGCCTCGTTATGACGTTATCTGGACTTACCACGCCTCTTTCCCTCTTCCGCCCCGCCCCGTCCACGGTTTACTTCGGAGCCCCTGATTTTATCTCTGTTTTATTTAAGGATATCTTCCCTTCTCCCTCCCTCTCTTATCCTTTCATTCAGTTTCCCCTTCCTTCTCTCGTTTTCTCTTTTTACCCTCGTTTTATCCTCCACTCTCTTCCTTCCCGTTCCCTCCCGTTCTCTTCCCCTCCCCCCTCGTTTTTCCCTTTCCCCCTCCCTTCATTTACTTCCCTCCTTTCCTCTCTCCCTCCCCTCCTCCCACCTCGCCCTCACCCCTCCCTCCAGCTCCTCCCCCATCCTCCCTTCCCAATCATATTTTTCCGTCTTTGATGCGCCTGGAGTTATCCGAAGTTAACCCTGCGTACTCCATACTCTTTCAGTTGAGAAGTCCAGTAGAGGAGTTGATGTTCCCGAAAGACGGAGGAGAGGACCTCAACTTCATCGCCATTCATCAAGTGCCCCTTTCCCTTCCATTAGCCATCCCTCCCCCTCAACACCACACGCATACATACAGAACGCACACAAGCACACATACACACGCGAACACAGAACCCCAAGATCACCAGACTGCTTCTCTTTCGCCAGCGCTGCCGCCGACTCACGGCCTAAGCTTTAAATAAAGAACAAAATACAATTGATCTTCCTCCGCAGGGACGGAAGCGGCCGCCCCCTCGTCGGCCCGTGGGTAAACCTCCGGAGAACCGGCCCGCCCGCGCCCTCTTCTGCCTGGGCCTCAAGAATCCGCTTAGGAAGATCTGCATAGACGTCGTAGAATGGAAGTATCCTTTTAAAGGCCTAAATGGAGGTCGCCACGGGTTTGTGTGTGTGAGTGAGTGTGTGATATATGCTTGTGTATAATATCTTAAACATGTTTTGTGTTTGTCTGAGTGTTTCCTTGTGCGCGCGCGCGCGCGCGTGTGTGTGCGTGTGTGTGTGTGTGTGTGTGTGTGTGTGTGTGTGTGTGTGTGTGTGTGTGTGTAATACATGCGTGTGTATATATATTTTGTTTAATTGAAACCTGAGATTCCTCCAAGCACTTATTTTTGTATGATGGAATACTCCTATTGTTGCAAACAAGTTTTCTTTTGACAGGTTTGAAACACTCAGTGTATGAAATATAGATATTCGTACAAGTGTTTCAGGAAGCGCTCTAGCCTTGTACATTCTGCGCTACAACATTCATGATATTCTGTTTGTCATCGTCTGTTTGGAGGAGACGGATAATTGCTGGGTATTACACACATTGGTTTATCGTCTATAATTATTATCCATGCTGTGTTGCGAAATTAAGGATGCTTATTTTCGCGATAGGTCATGTCAAGATAAAGGTATGATAGTGAGTTTGTCTTTCTTTGTTTTTATTACAGAATTCTATGAATGACAAAATGGCAAAAATCACTATACATAAAATAGGTTTACTGAAGGATCAAATCCAGGAGCATATGGATCAAAAGCAACATTCGTATTTTTATTTTTATTTTATATATATATATATTTTTTTAGATATTTGCTTTGTTTCCTAATAGATAAATATAAAATATGAATTAGTTAAATATTGTTATTGGCAATGCTGGCCTATTGGGTGTTTAGTTAATGGCAGAATACTTTAATATTTTCTGCAATTTTATTATAGTTAAAGAGTGTCCCTTTATATTTTTCATTTTTGCAAATATTATTTAGTTTTGCAAGCTCGTGTCTGTCCGTCAGACCGGGTATACCTGCATGCAATACAAATGTGGATTTTTAATCTAAGATTATGAAAATATATCGCACTGACGAATAATACAAAAAAGAAAAAAAGGGAAAAGCAGCACACTTGATGCAACACGCGAGGTCCCGACGACACGCAAGGCAGACGTGCAATCAAGTACAGTGAAGCCAAGGACAGTGACACACTTGGATCAGCGACGCGTTCGAACACACCATTTCGAAGCGGCGCCGAGGAAGGTTGAGCACTTTTCTTCACATCATTGAATTATGTTAAGGAATTCGAGGATATGTTCTTTTAATCTTTTATTTCTGTTTATATACCTGTACACTTATATTGCTTTCTCTTAATGTTGTGTTAATTATAATGGTACCGTGGCTTCTTCGAAAGTACGCACAGTTGGAACACTTTCAATGCAGTGTCCAGAACTAGGCCGCACGCTCAATCGATGGCAAAGTAGGGCAGACTTTTGATGTCCTGCAAGATGCCGGGCTCATTTTTCACGCAATACAAGGGAAGAGGTAAGTTTATTGCTGCCTCACCTGGTTGGGGCAACACACACAGCCAGGCAGTACTTGGCATACGTCTAGGAAATCGTGAAATACATTGCTCAGAAACTTTGTGTGTGTGTGTGCGTGCGTGCGTGTGTGTGTGTGTGTGTGTGTGTGTGTGTGTGTGTGTGTGTGTGTGTGTGTGTGTGTGTGTGTGTGTGTGTGTGTGTGTGTGTGTGTGTGTGTGCGCGCGCGCCTATGCATGTGCCTGCGTGTGGGCAACTGAAGGGAAAGAATAGAATATGAAAAATGAGAGTAGGTTTTGTGCAGGGCTGGTGAGAAATCGTAGGGATTAGGCAGATGTGTCTACCAAAAACGCAAGGATCAAACTAGTTAAGCTTAATCCACACTTCATAAAATATCCAAAAGCATACCACGAAAAAATGCTAGAACACGCTATTCCATTCCCCTTCCTGTCACACGGAACCAAGTCGTATTTGGTGTGGCCAAGACACACCGTCAAAGCACCCATCATTTCCTCACGCAAAGCACATCACAGTAGTAAGCAGGCACAAGTACACAATTTTCACATCATCTACGAACTCGGAACACTTCAGTTCTGACACAGAGCGCGGCATAATTTCTGTGCAACACAAGAAAAACTTTATTGCAACACAGAATCAGGACATATTTT